AAAAAAAAAAAAAAAAAAAAAAAAAAAAAAAACCAACCGGGGGGGAAAAAAAAAAAAAAAAAAAAAGGAAAACCTTCCCAAAATTATTAGCATTTTTTTTTTCTTAAATAAGAGAAAGTTCTATCCTTACTGGTCCTAAATCTGAATAACTACATCTAAATTTTTAACCTTAATTACGATACACCTACCAATATGTACTAGAAGAGGAAGAGAGAAAGAGGGGGGGAAGAATTCACTACACTAGCATCAGGACAGCACTCTTACAAGATAAGCCATTTTATACACTATTAACATACAACAATGATCAACAAAGAATATTCTATGAGGTGACAGGGAATGGAGAGGAAAACCAACTGGTAGTACAGTACATCATCAACATTGACAAAATAGCAATAAAAAATTCCCTGACGGCACATTGAATCACAGGGAATTTGGTTCGTCCGTGTTCTTTTTTTTTTTTTTTTTAACGTTTTTATTTTTTAAAGAATCGTTTTATTTCTTTTATTACTTGATCAAGTCTCAATATTTAAAAAGCGTCCAGCATTTTGCTTAAACCTGGTTGTTCTGAAATAAGAAAAAAACCTAAAATATTACATAAAAAGCATGATTTTTTTTTTTTTAAAAACAAGAAAAACAAGGTTTTCTCCTTTCGGTTAGCAGTATGGTGCCTTGTTTTTGTTAAAGATGCCTTGCTCTACCTTGTCTATTGAATGTCTACATTAGTCTACTTGTTAGTAAAATTTACAAAAATAGGAGTGCAGCAGCTCTTTTTAACAAATGTCGCATTCAGTGTCTTATACTGGCTGTACCTAAAGTACCAAATTTATAAACGTAACAATTTAAAAAAATATTAATAAAACTTGTCAATATTACGTTAAAAAAAGAAGAAATATATCCACACTACAGTATGTTCTTAATGCCACCTACCATGTTGTACTTCTAGTTTGCTGTTGCAGGCCTATTTACCAATATTAAAAAAATTAAATTAAAAAATATCCTTCATAAGTTTCCTCCCCCAACAGAGGACCATATATATAACAGCCAAATATTAAACATGTGCAAATAGGAAACTGTCAGTTTTTCCCCTACCAGTCACAGTGCAATGATGTTTTATACTTTATTTCTTTTAAATTCTGTTTACAACTACAATAAATTAAAATCTTCCGTTGCTTCTAGGGTGAAACTTGTAGCACTGAGGTATTCCCAAAAAAAAAAAAAAAAAAAAAATAGAAATCGAAACCAACCGAAGTTGCCTTCCTAATTTGTTGATACAGAAAGTGATGGATAATAAAGGAAACCATGTGAGCTGGACACCGCTCTGCCCGCAGCGGGGACGACCCCGGGCTGTGCAGGGTGCCCAGAGCAGCTGAAATGACTGGACAGCAAGTTTGATCTAGTTTAAAACAATGACTGAAAAATAAAAAAAAACAACCAACCAAACAAAACCAAAATAAAGGTGTGCTTTGAACCGTAAATACGTTAAGTAGGAAAAATCGTAGCTTCTTGATCAGTCTTGGGAAAAAGCAGGTTTTAAATTAAAATAAAAAATACCACTAGACTGTTCCTTTGTAAGCTGTGCACGTCTGAGAGCGAAGCTGCTGGTTTTGAACTGGGAGAGCTGGGAGGGTCCCACAGCCTCACGACCCACCCCGGGCCAGCTCCGGCAGTCGCTCCAAAAGGCTACAACGTCCTTGTCTTTTTTTCTTCCATTTTCATAGAGAAACTGCCTTAGGCTGACTCCATCACAAAAATAGGTTTTGTATTTCTCTTTCTTAATAGTTTCTATGTAGTTAATGGAATTGTATTTACAGCATTTTATTATTTTTTCTTTTTTTTTTTTTTTCAGAATTCACAATTTTCAAAAAACCTTATATCACCTCTTTCAACAGAAAAAAGCACTTATAGAAAAAAAGGACGCGCAAAAAGTTTGTCGCCCTCGCCTTATTGCCGAAAATAGAGAGAATTAGAGTTAACGAAGACGCCACAAAGGAAAAGAAGGGCTAGAGAACCTGTTGCTCACCCCCCTCGTGCCCCACCGGCCCCCCCGTGCCGTGCCCACCGCCGGCTCCGCTCCCCCCGCGGCGGCGGCAGAGCCGGGACCGGCGGCTGAGACTCCTGTCACCATCTCAGCATCCTTTAAGCAACAACAACTGCGTAAAACAGGGGAGGAGGGGGGGAGGTGGGAAAGAAAAACCAAAGAAACCCCTTAATATAACAGTTACACTATGGTTAGGCTTCGCTAGATACACAAAGAATTCCAACTACGTGGCTACGAGACTATGTCAAAGGCTACGAAAAAATGTGGGTTTGGAGAGGTTTAAAAAGGGGGGGGGAACCCATCGAGAAAATAAAACGAACAAGAAATGGGTTTTATATACATACTTTTAAAAGCTGTTGTTTTTATAGTACAGCAGATTCATGAGATGATGAGAGAGATTTTAAACAACTCAAGTCCTTCGAGTGCCACCTCCAGTTTGTGTTGGCGGTGAAGATGATGATGATAATGATGTAGTGCTCAAAGTCTGATGAGATCACCCAACCGTGGGCCCCTTCAGAAACTTCGCCCCGTCTTGCCCGGACATCCAGAGAGACTCTGCGAGGGGAGAAGGTGGACATGGACATGGGGAGAGGGACAGTTAATTGAGGTCAATTAGGATTTTTAACAAAAAAAAAAACCCAAAGTGTTTGCAAACGCTTTGCAAAGCCACAGCCTGCTCTGATCCACGCTGAGGGTGGATGCAGAGTGACAGGCTGGAATGCCAAGGTGTTCCCTGGACAGCCCTCCCAGGAGAGGGTATTATCTCATGTATTCCCTGCTCTCACTTTCCAGTTCCATCCCAGCTAAGCCTGCACTGGGGACAGGCTGGGCTTAGCTGAGGGATGGGGTGGTTTAGGGACAGTAAAAATGTGACTTGATACATGGGAAGGACAAAAACTGTTCCTCAGGCATCTGTTACGCCAGGAATTTACACGGCTTTGGTAAAATGAGTTCTCTCTAAAGTACTTGGAAGGTGACAACTCCTACCCAGGCACACTGTGGCGGCCAGGATTTATTTTATAACAGAGGCTTCAGCTTCCAATGCTCCGTCCCTGCTGGTGCTTAACGCTGAGATATATAATGTATAAAAGAGATATAAATATTAGGGACTGGTTCTGCAGGCAGCTGCTAGCAGGACTGGCTGTGGTGAGGACACCCTGTCACAGATTTGGGGTGACCTCCAAAACCCATTCCCAAGCAGCCGTGCTCAGGGTGAGGTCCCACCAGAACCCCACAGGGATGTGGGAACTGATCCCTGCCCTGAGGACCTGCAGCTCAGCCAAATTCACCCCCTATGGCTGATTCCCACCCTGAGAACCCACAGCTCAGCCAAACTCAGCCCCTACAGCCCCATCCTGCTCCAGGGACGTGGGGACAGCCGGGGCAGGCGAGGGCCCGGCTGCTGCGGGAAGTGCCACAGCCACAAGGATCTCAAACTCAGTGTTCCTTGAGGAATTAATAATAAGGCTCATTTCCTCCTCTCAAAATCTATTTTAATTAGTAATGAGCAACATTAAAAGCACTTTGTTTTTAAGTCGTTAATGGTTTGAGCCTTAACACTGGGCAGTAACTGATGGTTACTGGGATGTGCTGTGGTGAGAGCCGAGCGATTACAGCCCATCAATCTGGTGACGGCGCCGTCACCGCGCGTTATTAGCCTGAGTTATGATGTTCTGCCCAGGCTCCAGTCGGCCTCGGGTACCACCTCGCTCTTCCAAGGGCTGACGGCCCAGAAAACGTGAAGGACTCTGACAAATTGATCGGCGAACAGACACCGATACGTGCAAGTAATAGCTGGGATTAAGCAAGACTGCTTATGGCACTTTCTCCTTTCCCATAAAAAATACTCCTTGCTGGAGCAAATCAATGTCAGGTAATCTTGGGATGTGTGTGTGGAGATGGAGAGTAAACAGAAACCCCTTTTATCCACTAGTGTTTAGGTATAAATCTGTTTTTATGTAATTTAAAGCTTCCAACCATTCTCCAGTTCCCAGCCCCCTGACTAACTGTAATTCTGATTTTGTAGACTGATTTTTGAACGTAAAAAATGTGACAGTGATCAGGTAGTGCTGGGCAAGAGGCAGGGAAATAAAACCTGTAGTATCCATTCCATCTGCCTGCCAGGGCTCGGCGCTCTGCAGGTAAACCTGTGCCATTTAACTGGGATAACTTCTGTTTTCCACTGCATTTTCTAATCTATTCCATTCCGGGTGTTAAGAATATTTGTTTGCAAAGACGAATATGCCAAAGGCCAAATAATAATAAAAAATAAAAATTAAACATTTAATTAACTCGAGCTTAGTTCAAAGGGTAGGAAACTGGCAGCGATCCAGGGCCGCGGTGCTCAGGTAATGTCTTTAATTTAATTTGCTCAGGTTTAATTTTTTTTTAATCTTGATAATTGCTCTATGGTTACGACTTACAATGTTATCTTTTAGCTGTAATATTTGGTACAGCACTTAATTATGAATGATGGTTTCTCCATAGTAAAGCAGTGGGGCTCAGCTATTTTTAGACCAGTGCACTGGGAGCAGATCTCTGATCCCACTGGGACTGCTGGCTGCTGGCCCTGGGGTGATTCCCCACAGCTTTCTGGGTTTTCTGCAGGATTTCCTGCTTCTCAAATTATTGCACAATGCATGATGAATATGAAAAAGTAACTTTTGGGGGGGTTAGCTCTGGATCTGTCTTCCAGTTTCCAACCTGTGAGGTTGATTTGAGTAACACAAATCACAGAAAGGAATGATTAAAGGCCAAGGAAAGACGAAATGAAGATAAAAAATTGTTCACTTAAAGTAAATATAGGGGAGATGGTAGTTCAGCACAAAGTACAAATGGGATATACTGTAATACCTCCAAGTGAGATGGCAACCAACCATGTGTAACGTTTCAATGGTATCCATTTGTAAAAGCCGTTGCAATCAAAGGTCCCTAAAATTGTACAATTGTTAAGTTCATCAGTGCTCTATACATGGGAACAGCTGATTATTAATTTTGCCAAGAAATTATCAAAGGACTTGAAAGACTGTGTTGCCAGCATGAATAGGGATTTCCAAGAGCTGTTCTGGTCACCAGGTGCGCTCAACTCTATGGTTACCTTTCCAAGACCATCATCTTCTCATTCCCCCAGGTGCAAAAATAAGCTTTGGGGTCTTCCCTTCTTTATTTTTAAACCAGGGTTAGTAAATGGAGAGTGTTAAATAAATATGTATGTAAAAAAAGCTACGGGATTCTTTGCAGTTATTGGGGGAATTAAGAGGCTGCCAATCTGCAAGTTAATTATAAAATGGTTTGGGGGAGTTAGTGCAGACAAATCCGGATACCCAGGCTTGGACCTCGCATCCTATCACTTGAAAAATTGGGATATTGCTGAGGCCAAAGTGCCCAAGTTTTCAAGCACAAACAGATCTTTAGGTGAAAAACAGAAACAAGAGGTGTTGTAAGTGGTGAGAGGTGGCAGTTTGAACTGATGTAGCTCCTAGCAGAGCAGTAATATTCCATGTTTGGTACTAGAACTGATCCACAGGGATTGTCAAGTCCCCGGTGTGACCATGGGAGGGGCAGGATGGGAACTGAGCACAAGGGCACAAAGGGAGGCAGAGGGTTTGTTGGTCTTTTTTGGGTACCGGTTGCTCATGCAATGGAAGTGACACAACTTCAGGAAGTTTGTCTGCACTACACTCTCACTCCCCCCAATCCAATTCCATCAGGGACTTGAGTTCTCCACCCAGTTTGAGGGAACCTCAGGGGAGCCTCTGTACTTCCTTGTTGTACAAGAGGAAAAAAAAAAAACAACTCATAATTTTACTCCAAAAATGGCAAGAGCCTCCGATGCAGACGGAGTCTGGGCGAGTGCCCGCGGCGGCGGAGGCAGCCCCATTCATGCTCACACACAGTGACACAGCCACGTGCAGCCTGGTTAAGCCAATCTGTGCCCTCATTAGTGCGATCGCAGACCCATCGTGGCGTTAGGAGGCACCTCCCGGTGACCCGACGGCAGAGCGGAAGCCACTTGCTCATAACCTGCAGATCTGAGGGACTGTGAGTGATGCCATGACTGGCTGGAAGTGATTCCAGAGCTCAGCAAACAGGTGAAGGGCAGCAGGACACGGCCGTTCCCTCAACAGGGTGGCTGTGGCCAACCAGGGGGTCCCACCAGCTGAATTAATGAGCTGATTTAGGTGGGAGCAAGGGACTGCTGCTCTATCCACCAGTGGGTGCATCAGCCAGGATGGGTGGCTGGGCTGATATAAAGCCCATATGGATAAGCAGGAATTTAAATCCCATAATTATTAAATATTCCCCCTTTGAGACATGTCAACTCTGGCTGTGGAAGGCTCCAGATGAGTGTTTACAGCAAGGGAGGTTCAGGTTGGAAATCAGGAATAATTTCTTCACCAAAAGAGTGGTTAAGCGGTGGAATGGGCTGCCCAGGGCAGTGGAGGAGTGTGGCAATTTGTGACACAGCCTGGTTGACAAAGGGGCGATCGGTCAAAGGTTGGAACTGATGACCTTGGAGGTCTTTTCCAACCTTGATGATTCTGATGATTCCAGACTGGTAACCGGCGTGGTGGTTGGGCACAGCTCTCACAGGTTATGGCAGCAAGGCGCTGCGCTCGCCATCAGGTCACCACCACCAAACCCCAAGAGAACCCCCTCCCAACACCGTTACCACCACCCCCTGCCCGGGCAGCGCGTCCCCGCCGGCGCGCGGTACTTACGGCGATCCCGTGTCCGAAGCCGGAGCCCGGCTGCGGGCTGGCGGCGCTTATGTAGTTACCCACGCCGGAGTCCTGGCTGGCCGTGCCGTAGAGATCCGCGACGGGCCCGGGGCTGTTGGCCCCGGGGAAGCCTCCGGGTCGCGCTGGGTTGGAGCCTGCCGGGGAAGCGGGTGCGCCAAAATTCGGTTGAGCACTGTAGCTATTCAAGACTGGTGTGCAGAGAATAAAGCTGGGTATGAGGCCAGACGCCGGGCATGCACCGGTATTACAAAGCCAAACACCAGAATAAACAGCCTAGGCCCAATTCTAACACTTAACCAAGGCCATGCGAGAGGAGAGCAAGTACTGGAGAAGAGTCAGCCCGGACTACTACGAAGCTTAGAGCTCCAAAAATATATATGGATATATATATAAAAAAAAAAAAAGAACAATCATTCAACACACTACTGCAACCAGAGACTGGAGGTGCTCATTTTCACCAAATTATCACAAAATATAATAGGTATTTTTCAACATCTGACTTGATGCTCATGCAGTAGTAACAAGTTCTCTAGGTCTGGGCACGCCGAGACAGCATTCACATCCCATGCAAACTACAAAGGAACTAGTTTGAGACTACACATTGTGGTAATATTGATATTAAAATGTTGACAGCAAATAACTTCAATCACGTCTAGGAAAATTGTTTTTTTGGATCCATTCGATACTTTTGGAAAAAACCCGCCCTTTTAGATCAGTAAGCTGTAGAAATAGTTCAATAGTTGATTTTTTTTTTTTAAATGGTATGGAATGGAACAGTTTGGATTTTTTTCTTTTAAATATGACCAAGGAGAGTGTTGTTTTATTTAATTTTTTTCCTTTTGATTTGGAGAGCGAAGACCTACCTTCGTCTCCAAAACCATGCTTGGGACATCAACCAAAATTAAACAAATAAATAAAGATCAAAAGCAAAAAATAATTCCAGAGGGTGGATGACAACTCACCTCCTAATGTGGAAGTAAAAGAAAATTTTATTTTTTTCCTCCCTTTATTTATTTTTTTTTTTGAGAAAGAAAAACAATGTAAATAAGAATGACACTAAAGAAGAGATTTAGATATTAAAGCATGTTAGATGATCAGGCTTCTGGCATTTCTCACGGCTGCTCTTGGATGTAGAATTTATGAACAAGAAGTTTCAATGCGAAAGAAAAGTCAGCGGACGGGGAGGAGCTGGATGGAGATGGCTGCGGGAAGCTGGAGCTACACCTGGGTGGTACCTGCAAGGTCCCTCAGGAGCACACAGAGCACGGTCCCCCCACACCCACCGGGGCCTCACGGTGTCCCCACCGCGGGCAGCCCCGAGACACGAACGGCCAGCGGGGCCCGAGCCACCGGGTGCCCCCACCAGGCACCCAATCCCATCACCTCCATCACCAGCCTTCCAGGCTGAACCAAGACTTCTTCAGCCTTTTCCTCTGGCTGCAACTTCCCACGATCTTCATTAAACACTACAACGGGTTATAAAGCCTGGCAGCCTGCATCAGGCTTTATAACCTGCCCTTGCCCGCAGGTTTTCCTGGCCGTGGAAGCCAACCCAGGAGCAAGCCCTGTGCTCTGGCTTTGGCAGCACCACACATGGGCTGTGGTGGGCTCAGCCTGACCTGCTGTGGAGCCACCACCTGTCCTGCCCTGGTCCCTTCCTCTGCATGGCCCGCCCAAGGGGTCCTCAGTTTTCAAAAGAATGAATTAACTGGTCAAAAAAAGGCCACCCCACAGTTGGTGGCTCTGTGGTGACAGGAAAGTCAATTTTACAAAATAAATGATTCACTGCAGCTCTGAACTGGTAACAGGGGAGGGTAAGTAGGACATCTAAGCTAGCAAGTTAAAAGAAATAAGGCATCAGAGAGTAAACAGATTTTGGACTTTGCTGGCAAACAAAGTGCCTTTTTTATTATTAAAGATTAAATGTCAAGATAACATTTGGCCTTCTTACTCGTGAAGAAAAATATCCAGCTGAGATGTTCCAAAGCCCTTTATTACTAGAAGCCAGCACTTTTCCCTTTTTTCCTCCTTCTAGTTCAATAAAATGGATGTGAATTTTCCTGCCAAGTCACACAGAAAACCCAGTTGGCCGGTGTGAGTGACAGTAGGAGCACAGCACTGGGACACGGCACAGAGAGGGGGATCCTGTTAGGAAAATATTCCTGTAAACCCCGTGGCAGCACCAGGGAAGGCCATCACCACCACCCTGGGGCATGGGCAGGGACAGACAGACATCACTGTGGCATCCAGAGGGACAGGGCTGTGCCACTAACCCGTGCACGGTGACAAGGGGCACACTTGTGTGTCCTGAAACCTTGAGAACAGCAAATGGAGACTGAGGAGCCAGAGAGATGCTCTGACCCTCCACATCCCACCCTGGGCACTCTCATTTGCATCTCTAGGATTGGAAACACAGCTTTCATACCTGCAGGAAGACCTGGCACTGGGTTATTCAAAGTCCTGACTGCAGGTAGGTAACGTAAGAAAAAGGTAATTTTTCCACCTACTGACCATGGGTTGAATGCTCCACACTGCTCACAGGAGTGCCCATGGAAAACAGGCATGGCAAAGGCTGTGCAGAGGCTGCCATGCCCTGGCACCACTCCATGTGATGCCTGAAAAACTCTACAGAAAGGGCTGGAAGCTTTTCCAGAGCCAACACTTCACTCCAGATCCAATAAATGAAACAGAAAGCTCCCATAATTAGCAGGAGGCTCAGCACGCCTCAGAAAGCCACATTCTAACGATTTGCTCAGCCGTGGTTGGTTGCCAAGTATTTGTCTTCTTCCAAGAGCTCAGGTGAGCTCACATGGAGCAAGAGGCACCTTTACCATGGCTCAGAAACAACAGCAAAGGGGACCTTGAACAACTTCCCCAACACACAAATCCTGATGCTTTCTTGTAAGAAATACCTGGAAACAAGTTTGTTTTACACAAACCAGGAACAATCTGAGACTCAAAGGAAGAAAAAAAAAAGCCTGAAACCCTCCAGACTCCAGACACTGCTTCAGCAAGAAAAGTTAAGGCTTTCTGGAGACGTGTCATTACGACAAAGTTGTGAGGAGGCAGAAGCTGTGCAAGTGCCACAGCTGCTGTGGGCTGTGGAATCACAGAGCACTAACACCAACTCCTTGCAGGCTGGAAGGAATTGGAGACTTTCCCCCAGCCACTGACAACTCATAGCAAGAACAGGATTCAGGGCAGACATCTGGAAGTTCACTGCTGAAGAACTGTCAGGGGACTGCGCTGCCCCAGGAGGGGAGGGAACCACTGACCGTATCCCGATGCCAGTCAGTGTGGGCCTGACCTGCTGCCTGTCCCAGCAGAGGCACTGCCCGAGCTGACCACGAATCTCCAGACTTTGGTTTGCTGGGAGTACCCACCAGGCTGACTCAGCATTGCCTGGGGGCTGACAGGGCCATCTCCTCCCCTCGAAAGGACTGCCAGCACTCAGGAAATCCTGGCAAAAGACCCATTTCCAACATGCCCTGAAAGGTTCTGGTCCCATTTCCCAACCAATTGCACAGGAAGCCATCCTGCACTGGGCGACTGCACAGCTCTGAGGCTGTGGTTAAGTGCCTCCAGCTCAAAGACTTCCTCTATGCATAATTTGCAATCCCAAGTGTCCCCTGGAAGCCCTGTGATAGATCAAGGTCAGCAGAGATGTGGAAAAGATTAGATGTGCCTGTAAGTCACAGCCAACCACCTTTTATCTTCAGCCCCAGTGATCCTCCATCCTCTGGGCTACAGAAGCTCCTTCCTACACTGATGGAGATCAAGGGCCAGCAGTCAGGAGCTGTGGCAGTGATGGGAACAGGGCAGTATAATGTCTTGCTCGCTTCACTTTGAATTTGCTGTGGTTTTCTTACAGAAAAGGCTCTGAGCCAGTGAATTCTGATCAGCAGGTGAACGTTTGCCTGCAGGCCAGAGGGACAGGCTTTGGGGAGCCTCGGGCTTATTCTGCCCAGTGTCATGGTGCCTCAGGGAGTGCTGAAAACCAGAGAGGGAAAGCAAGATGGGGCACAAAACATTATAAAAAATGTAGGTTCATAAATCAGCCCCAGAACAGGCATTTTTTTTAATGCGAAGTGTCGGCGCCGGTGGAGTTGGGAGCTGCTGTGCAGGGCTGGCACAGCAAGAGCTGCACCTCTTCAGGCAGCAGGCTGCTTTATTACAGACTCCTCCTGGCATCCTTCAGCAGAGCTGTCTTTATCCCCATCTAACACGTGTGTAAGATGATTTTCAGTGTTCAGGCAACAAGTGATTTATGTCAAGGAGCCAAGAGCTGGAACCCCAAACAGCCTGGCAGGGGCAGGAGGCTCAGGGCTGGGACGTGCATCCAGTGCCTGCTCCTGCAAATGGCCGTGTTAACACAGACCCTGCTCACACGTTAATCCGTGTTCAACAAGAAAGGTCATCACTGAAAGATAAACTCTCTCTCGATGAACTCTTGAGAAATTGCAAAGTCAGGGTTCCTGCTGACATTTGCCTTACAAGGGCCGTGTTACACTAACGAGGATCCCAACGCCATGGGGGTGGGGAGGGCAGCTGGGTAAAGCACAAGAAGCTGGATGCTGGAATCCCACCCAAATAAACTCCGTTCAGCACCAATGATGAAGGGAAAGAGGGAGGGGAAAGGAGAAGAAACGTGAGGATTTTGACATTACTGTCCTACAAGAGGAACCCACATGGTACCAGGCTGACAGTCAGGCCCTTAGGGACTAGTAAATGAGACCTGATGACAAATAAACAGTTTTAAGCACCACTAAAATAAGCTGTAGTTCAAAGGAAACAAACCAGGGGAGATAAGGACAGAGCAGTAAGACAGACACTGCCTGGGGATCACTGTCCCTGCACGCAGCCCACCCCAGCCTTTGGTGACACCTTCCTCTCCTACAGCACCAAAACCCAAAGATTTAAACACCATTATGGGGGGGGTGGTAATAACAAATATGAGTATTTCAAAAGTTAGGAAAATAAAAAAGGTGAGGAAGGGTGCAGAATGTGGTTGGAGAAATGTGTGGCTGCCTTCCCTGCCACGGTGCACAGGCAAGGAAATCCTCACGTGTGAAAGAAACCACCACGATTTACTGGATTTCCTCTCTGAGCAGAGGCAGGATATTCAGGATGAGATATAGCACCCTGTTACCACAGCCAGAAATATGTTTTGCACTTGAGAAAGGACCTG